TCCTTTACTTTAAAATGAGTTCACAATCCTAGGTAATATTACTAAACTTTTGAATTTCGCGCCATGCATATATAGTTAGGCGCCCGGTCACTAGGTGATGCGCCAATCATTGTTTTACTCGTCAACACGGAAGTTTCAATGCTAGGTGGTAGTGTGCTATGGTAAGAAGTGAGGAAATACGAGCGAGATGTGGTATAGAGGCAATAAACGCGTGGACCAAAAGAAGAAAAGTTGAATGGAATCAACACATCGACAGAAAATAGAATAGTACTAATACCAAGAGACAAATCGCCAAATGGAAGAAGATTATTGGGACGACTGAGGAAAAGATGGTCAGACAACGTCAAATGATTCTAAAAACCGAAGTAAAACAGGCTTTAAGCCTATTTCTAAAGTAGGAAGAAGAAGAAGAAAAAGAGGACAGTCTAGTACGCTGTATTATTCAATCTTCGTGGGTGGTTCGAATTTAGTGAATCACGGGATGAAAAATATTTAAATTATTGTTTTGTTCTTTTTTCGTTGCCAGTGATTTTATCCCGTTAAACACTAAAGATTTTTGAATGTTATAATAATTTTTTGAGTTTATTTTTTATATCTGGGCATATAATGGATAGTAAACGTGTGTTAAAAATATTCAGTATTACTGAATTTTTCAGTAAAGACAAAAAAACTACTATAAACTATTTAAAATACGAAAAAATGAATATATTTAGTCTTTTAGGGAATAAAATCACTAGCACTTAAAATAGATTACTAGCACTGGCACTTAAAATATTAATTTAAATATTTTTTAAATTCGTAAAGAAAGTTCATGATATTGATTAATTTTTAAATTAACTCGATAAAAACAACAACAAAATACCTTGAAACACAGTAAAAAATAAATAAAGTTTTAACTAAACCATATGACCATTCATAGTAACTACCTTAACCCTTTGATAGTCTTACTTCACAAATTCACGAACAACAAATAATACCAATTACACAGAGTGAATGTTCATAACCAAAAGTCCTTATTTATTCTTCAAACAATTAAAAAAACCAATATTTCCAACTTCCAATGCGACATACATACACACAAATTGAAATGTTTGGAAAGGTTTGTAAAACCTCCGCCCATTGTGAAGTCAAAGGTTAGGTAGTTCATTATGTACAACAGAACTTCATTCACATAGCGCTTTTCTGTTTCCTGTTTATTAAATACTAAATATATTTTGTTTTTTAAATTTAAAATCTATATTATAGAGGACTTGCATAAAATTATTTGTCCAATTTCACCAAATGTCCTCTCCTTTAATTTACACAAAATTGTATCTAAAGTCACGTGTTTCTTATTTGCGCACATTTGATATTTTGTATTACGAATTTAAAATTTGTGGCAGACGAGTTTTGCGGTCATAGTTTTCCGACAGTTCACGATTCTGTCACTATATTACCGATTTTAAGGATTGCCACTGTTTTTTTTTTTTTCACAATAAAGTACTTTTTAATGGCATAGACATTAGTTATTCAGACAGAAAATGAAGTACTTATGTAGGTTACAAATTAGAGTATTTACATCTAAATCACGCCTTGGAATTTTCAGTAAAATAACACAAACTAAATTCTCACATAATTAATAACAATTTCAATAACAAGTTAATACTTCAAAACAATATATTCAACCGGAAGATAACAGATACGAACGTTATTGTGGGCTAAATGTCACTGCAATCGTTTGAAATTGAACTATTTTTGTACTTATATTATTTTGATTTTTTTTTAATAAATTTGACGATAATTACCATTACTTTATAATTAGTGTCATCAATTAAGTAGACAGGAAATTTAAATCTGTCTATTTCTAAGTATTTAAATAATACTAACCGAAACGCGTTATCAGTCGAACAGGCGATATTTAGTGCGTAATCTCCAGATCTTACATCCATAGACTTCTTGTTTTGGGGATATTTAAAAAGCATCACCTACGGTCATCCTTAGGCTAGAGCCCCAAATTTGGATGAAAAATTGAGAAATCTCCAATTATGTTACAACAGAAACTCTTTCATCTATTCGCAGTTTTTATTGGGACAAATTGGAATACTGTTCAGCCGTAGAAGGTCAAATATTTGAATCATTTCTGTACGGCATAAAGAATTATTTCTTATTTTATTATGAATTATTTTTTATTCTTAAAAAGAGTATATTTTTTTATTTAATCTTTTTAAAGAAATGCACTTTTATTTTTAATTTAACATCGAAATATTGTCCCTTTATATTTTAAATTTTTTTCGTACTATTTTGTATTATGTAATATTTTTTATGTACTCTTCTATGTTTTCCATGCTTTCATACAAATATATAGTTTTCTTTATCTCATAACGTTGAATTTTATGTGGTGGACAACGTACACCACGCGTGTAGCTGAGTTACGCTTAAAGCCACGTGTAGCTAAAGGTTAATACTACACCTATACAAGTTCACCAAATAAACTTAACATAGGGATTAACTTGTCTCTGATCTTGAAGTAATTGCTCTATATATTATTTCATCTACATAATTTTGGTTGTTTCCACAATGATTATCCAATCTCTCTCTAGCAGTATATTTGAGTTACTCTATTTTTTAACTCCATTATAGGTCTTTGACTATTTTATGCAAAGTTTTCATATTAGTTTTGCAAGTCTTCCATTTTCTTACATTTTTTTTCTCTCTTATTTTTGTTTTTATAAACTACTCTCACTAATCCCTAAATGTTCGTACCATTTTAATATTTTCTCTTCTATTTAACATTTCGTTCTCTATAAATTTTCTTTGAATATTTTCTTCATTTATATTCTGTTAATTTTGGTTATTTGACAGTATCTCCGAAAGTATTCCATTTATGTTGTAACTATCTTACTGCTTCTTATTTTTAAGCTTTATTTTTTACAGAACATGCATAATGGAAAAAGTTGTAGGTGCCACTAGGATTATCATGGTACCTACGCACATCCAAAATTTTTCCTAGATCCATTTTTATTTTATGAAAATAACGTTTTCTTCTATTAAGAACAGTAAACTTATTGCATACAATATTGTGTTTAAGTTAGCTTCGTAACTAATTCTCATTACGATCCCTCTCGTAGTTGGATGACATAATAGAATACAAATGACGAAATTTACTCGTAGAATATAGCCAATCCTTTAGGATGTAATTAATACATTTTGTATTTGAGTCATAGTGACCTCATTTGAATTGGAACTACTAACTACATAATGTCCTGTAAAAGTTGGAAGGAATTTAAATTTCAATAGTTAAATAAAGCCACCCAAGTTATCTAATTAAATTTTATTCATAATGTGGTTAAGGAAAATTAAGTCTATTATATATATATATATATATATATATATATATATATATATATATATATATAAATATATATATATATATATATATATATATATATATATATATATATATATATATATATATTGTTATGTTTCTTCTTTCCCAACCAAAGAAAAATAAATAAAAAGATCCATCGAAATAAAATTTTAAGATATCAGTATAAACAAATTGTATATAGTAATTTAAGATAAGATTTAGTGTAGATAAGAATAGAAATTTGTTTGGCAAACGACCTTTTCCGTTTCCAACAAAATTATCAAAAAACCTTTGTTTAGAATTAGAAGAAATCATACCTGTAAGTTAATCTTTTCATTGTTTGTATAATCGAGTATTAAATGACCATATTCTAATCTTTTGAAATATGTATAAATTGTGTATTGACAAAACCAATTTTAAAGTAAGTTATTTAGTTTTCTCTGAAACCGAAATTAGGCTTTTCCAAAATCATGGTAAACACAATTTGAGCTTTTGATTGGACGGTCGTTTTTGAATGGGAATTTGTGAGCCGATCAGGAGAACCAGAGACGTTAGTCATAATTTGGTCATCGAAGGAAACGGTCGTTTGTCTTAAGATAGGGTGTGAAAAGTAGTCATTTTGTGAAAATAGGTGAAAGTAGTTTTACGGCATAAAGTAGACAAAAGGAAGTCCTTGTGTCATTAATAAGTAGCTGAGTTTTTGGAGAAGTGAATCAGGTGTTTCTGAAGAAACACCTGATTCACTTCTTTAAAATTTCTGAAGAAACACCTGATTCTTTAAAAAATATATATTATATTGTATACCCTTTTGCCCAATGTACCCAAGCAGGTACAAAGAAATTTAGGTCATCAAATCTCTGAGGTAAAACAAATAGTTTTTATTCCATATTCTTACACATATAATAAAACAAATTTCAGGCATGCAACAACATAAATTCATGAGTACAAAGCGTTATTGATAAAAATGTTTACGTACCGCAATTTAACCTTAAATCACAACTGCAATGGCTTTTTCAAAGTGCTATATCCTAAAACCACGCAAAAAAATACAGTAATCGGTTACACCGTCTGAGAGACGAAACTATGCAGAAGCGTCTTGTCTCCCAGATATTGAGATTTTCAACCATAGATGGCGTTTGCACAAAATTATATTTGCCGTACCCGTGTAGGTACGATGGGCGTTAATGGGTTAAGAACACTCCGTTTTTCTCCTTATCCGATTGCTACTAAAATAATCGGGGCTTCGGAACTGCCGAAGACTGAGAACTGGTTGGAAAACTCCTTCTGTATCTTGAAAACTCTTTCGGGGAAATTGATCAATATCTTTAGCATTTACTATTCACTATAGCATATCTATTCACTATCGAGTTCACAGAAAAATACCTACCCGCGAGCGTTATTATCAGATTATCAATACAATAGTTTGCTGATGTTAATACAGGTTATATTACTGCATTACAGGATAATACAGTTCTGGGCTATATTCTAATTAAATGAATACAACATCTCTGCGATTTTAATAGGCTTATAGAAATTAAAAAAAAAACAAATGTATTATTAGTACTTATAAGTCTTAAATAAATTCTGTAAAATTAAGCTAACGACACACTATTAGTATATCAATAACTAACTTACTAAAAATGCAAGGTCTTACTTGATAAAAGTGCAGCTAAAAGTACCAGTCTCATCATCTTGTCGCGGTGAATGTATAGATCAACTTTTTTAACTTTTTCTTCGAATCAGCAACAGGAAATGGCAGCTGTATCAGACTTTATATGAAGCGAAGACCATTAAATACACAAATGGAATTCGCAGAGTACCTGAAAGCTTATCATTCTTCTCTTATTACCAGGTGTACTGTTCCTGCAAAAGAGTAAAAATGGGTTTAGTTACGAATGGCAATGTTTAGAACGACCATAAATATAAACGATTAAGTAATAGACATAAAATCTTACTTGTTTTATTGTTATTCAGCTAACATGAATATAAAAAATATTATTTACGAAAAATTATATTATTATTAATATTTGTTTGTATGCTACATGTTAGGTATATTTATTTACGGTTATTCGTAGTGTGACCAACTAACTCAAAAAATCCGGGACATGTCACGAATTACGAAGTCGTGTCCTAGCGTCCCGGACAAGGCTTCCAGGCCATCTGAATTTTTTACTTTTTGGTAAAATTCTATTTTGAAATTTTAAATACGTTATTCTTCTAAGAATTCACATTAAACTGAATTGTTGGGAAGAAGAAAAGACGCAAATTTCTAGAGTGTAATACGTGGTAGTACATTTTAACGTGGTATTATGTTAGAGGAAAACTGAAACTGTGCACTTTTTTCTGTATTTTAATTATCCTCTTCCGAAAAGATTATTCAAAAACGATAACAATTTATGTATTGCATACACATCAATCCTGCTGACCGAGGTGTGCCGCATTCAACGATATAATGATATTATAATTATATAATGATATAATTTTGTGTTTTGTCAACCATTCTAAGTAGGTAAACAAACTTATTGATTTCATTCGTGCTATATTCTTGACGAATGAATGATTTATTTCCAAACCGGTGTATGCTTTGAACCAAGATCAAATCAAATAGATAAGTGATCATCTACGAAAGTCCGAAGCATTGTTTAGATTTTTTTCCATTCTGTTGTTAATATGGAAACACAACAAGAAAGTAAAAAGAGAAAACGCTATTGCACTTTTAATAAAACATTGCACGAAGAATTCCCATTGAAAAAAACTAACAATGGCGTAAAATGTGATACTTGTGGATCCGAATTTTTGATCGCCCACAGTGGTAGAACTGATGTAGTGAGTCACATCAAAAGTGGAAAAGACCAAACAGGTATTACTTAGCTTCTCGACAAGCAGCAAAAAAATTAACTGAATTTTTCAAGGCAACAGCAACATCGAGGAATATTGATTTAGAGACAGCAGCTCAAGAAGGTGTTTGGGCGTATCATATGATTAAGGAAAATGAAATCTTACTCTCAGCTAATTGCTCATCGAAACTATTTCGGAATTGCTTTGGATTGACCAAACTTCAGTCAGCTCGTACTAAATTTGGGGCAATTTTTGGGGCAATTTTGTCTTTGGTCAGTATATACGTCAGTATAGTTACCGATGCATTTAACTATGGAAACGTAAAGATTTTCCCGGTTGTGGTGTGATATTTCGTTCCATTAGAAGGCAATGAAGACGAAAATAGTGAATTTTACGGATGAAGATGTAGATACATCTGATTTTATTGTGCAGCTCTTGAGGAACACTCTTGAAAAGTACAATATCCTAAGAAAGTTAGACTCATTCTGCGGCGATAATACTAATACTAATTTTTGTGGTAAAAACCGAGGTGGGCAAAACAATGTTTACTAACACTAATTAGTAATTACACTAACTAAAATCACAGGTAAATTCAAATTTGATTGGTATCGGTTGTGCGGCTCACATTATTTACAACACTTTGCAATGTAGCCATATAAATATGTTACCATTTGACGTGGAATTAATTATGGTGAAAATTTATTCATATTTTTATCGTTTCACCGCTTGTGTCACACATTTGAAAGAGTTTTGTGAAACTGCAAACGGTCAATACCAAAAAATTCTTGGTAATGTAAAAACTTGATTTTTGGGAATATTCTTCTTCTTCTTCTTGTGATGCCTATCCGTTACGGATTTTGGCTACTAGCATCATCATCATCAATGGCGCTACAACTCTTTGTGAGTCTTTGCCGCGTTTACTATTGTCTTCTATGTTTGTCGGTCCTGTGCCAGTAATTCCCATAGTCACACTTCCATTTTCTCTAGATCTTCTTTGAATGCAGCTTTTCACCTTTTTCTAGGCCGCCCTACAGACCTTCTTCCATCTGGCCTTTCCCAGAACACATTGTTTTTAAGGCGATTGTCGTTATTGCGTATCACATGCCCAGCCCATCTGAGTCTATTGGCCTTTATATATCTGACTAGATTTTCTTTTCCAAATAGAGACTCTAGCTCGTTATTGTATCTGCCCCTCCATTGGTTTGTCACGCTGTCTCTGCAAGGGCCATATATCATTCGAAGAATTTTACGTTCCCACACCAGCAATTTATTTACTTCCCTTTTTGTTAGCGTCCTTGTTTCGCTTTCATACGCGACATACGCTTCCATAAGCATGGCATGACGTACTAGCATGGTAATTCTAACTTTATTGACCGCAGCTCGAAATAGTCGTAAAGTGGTCAAGGAAAACCATTTTCGTAGGTTCTGGAGCCAAGATATTCTTCTTCTTCCTGGTGCCCTCTTTCCGTAGACCTTTCCCTATAATTGGCAGCAGGCATATTGGAAATATTCACATGCGTGCAATCAATCTTACAAGTTTATGATGGAAAAGGCGTATTTTCTAGAAACTTCAAACAGCCCAAAATGACTGAAGGATTTTTTCAAGAACCCATGTTCGAAAGTTTGGTTGTTGTTCATTCTTGAACAGTAAAAGCAGCTTTACATCTAGCAATGCAAGTCCCATGCTATACAAGTCTGTCTTGCATGGCATACCTCTCGCCTAGCCTGTTTACATCAGAGCTATTTCTGTGCAATTTTTGATACCACTTTCATTGTTGCCAACAAAAGAAATATACCAAAACATTTTTTATAGCTCTTTTTCTATCCGAATTGTCGAATAAAGGCCTCTCCCATTTCTCGCCATTCATCCCTATTGTGTGCTAGGCGTTTCCACATTGGTCCTGCGACTCTTTTGATATCGTCGCTCCAGCGCATTTGAGGTCTTCCTCTTGGTCTTTTCGCATCGTACGGTCGCTAGTTTCCGACTTCTTTGTTCCATCTACCATCTTCGAGACGTTCGTTGTGTCCAGCCCATTTCCATTTTAATTTAGCTGCTTGCTTCGCGGCGTCCTTTATTTTTGTTTTGTTCCGGATTGCTTCGTTCGTTTGCCGATCTATTAGTGAGATACCAAGCGTCTGTCGATCCATGGCTCGCTGAGTTTTTCGAATCTTGTCCATGTTCTTTTTTGTGAATGTCCAGGTTTGAGCTCCGTAAGTGAGAACGGGAAGGATACAAGAATGGAACACTTTGGTTCGAAGGTTTTGGGGTATCTTTTTGTCTTTCAGTATGTATGAGAGTTTTCCAAATGCGGCCCATCCCATTCTTACTCGTCTGGTTATTTCGGTAGTTTGGTTTTCTTTGTTTACCTTAATATTCGGACCCAGATATATGTATTCTTCTACATGTTCTACTTTTGTTTCTTGGACGGTTATCGTCGGTTGATCATATTTATTCGACATTAGCTTAGTTTTACTCAGATTCATTTTCAGTCCTTTTTTTTTATGGATTCCGTATGAAGCTCATCGATCATCGTCTACAGTTCTTTCCAGCTGTCAGCTATTAGTACTACGTCATCTGCATATCTTAGATGGTTTAAATACTTTCAGTTTATTGATAGTCCATTTGTTTTCCAATTTAGTGATTTAAAGATGTCTTCACGTGCGCCAGTAAATAGTTTTGGAGATATGGTGTCTCCCTGTCTTACTCCTCGGTTGATTTTTATTGGCGTTATCCATCGTGACTACCATTTCAGCGTGTTGATATATATTAGGTATTATTATCCTATATCTAGAATCTATTCTGCTGTTGACCAGTGCTTCCTCAATAGCCCATAATTCTATGCTGTCAAAAGCTTTCTCGTAGTCTATAAATGCTAAACAGATTGGTAAATTGTATTCGTTAACTTTTTCTATTAGGACCTTTAGTGTGTCGCAAAAGATGGTCGCATGTACTGAACCCTTTTCTAAATCCGGTTTGCTCTACTGGTTGATATACATCGAACTTTGTTGTCAATCTATTTGTAATTATTTTTGTGAATGTTTTATAAAGTTGTGATAGTAGTGATATTGAACGATAATTTTTCAGATCTGTATTGTCCTTTTTTTGTGTATTAATATTGTGTTAGCAGTATTCCATTCCTTTGGTATGTTTCCTTCAAATAGGCATTTATTAAAAAGTATTTTTAGGTACCTATGACTTCTTCTCCGCCTTCTTTCAACATTTCTGTCAGAATTCCATCACTACCCGGTGCTTTATTTCTTTTCAATTCTTTAATTGCATTTTCTATTTCTACTTCGCTTATTTCGGGCATTACTTCAGAATTTACGTTTGTTATTTGTCTTTTCAGATTTTGCTTTGAAGAGTCGGGGGGATCGTTTCTTGAGCGGTATAACTCAGTATAGACGTTTTCAACTATGATATCTGAGCTTTGCTTGTTTCTAGTTGGCCTTGTTGATTTTTCATAGTTATAATATTTTTCTTTCCTAATTTCGGTTTGGTATATTTCAGACTTCGATTTTTCTCTATCACTCTCTATCACATGTTCTTGTTGATGTTTTTTAAAATCGTCTTTTATCTGTTTTCGTTTGGCTCGATTAAGTTCTTTGTATTCTGTGGTATTTCTTTTGTTTAGTGGCAGGAACTCTTTTCGTTGTTTCAGCATATTCTTCGATTCTGCACTTATTTTGGATTTTTTGTTGTTATGGCGGGTTGCTAATTCAATTGAATTGGAATTGGTCACACTAGTTATTCGTAACGTTGTCATGGATACATTTGTAGTAAAATATTACTTATGTAATTGGCACATATTGTAACTGTTGTATTTTACGGTATTATATAAAGTAATATTTCATG